ATAGGATGAGAGATGGGAAAGATGGTTTGACATCAGCCTGGGCAAAAACATTAGAGAGATCCTGTGTCTGAAACTGTCCTCTATGTGTTGGTGCATTATCCATTATCCAAGTTATGGGAAGATGAAATCAGGAACATTTTGGTTAGCTCTGGACAAAAGCAAGATCGTACTTAAGAAATAAACTAAAGCGAAAAGGGCTGTAGGCTTGGCTCAAATGGTGGAGTGCTTGCCTAGCAAGTATGAGTCTCTGAACTCAGACCCTCCAAAAACAAATGATGGTGGATTGTGAAGACTCAACTATCTCCCCAGTTTGGCTTGGTGCTACTTGGGTTTCCCAAGCCTTTTCCCTGCTGGGATTTCTCTGTCTCATTTTTCACTTGTGTTACTCTCATTTATTCTTTCTCCTTAAATACATCACTTCTTCACGAGTTGTGGTATAAGTCAGATCTGACTTTGTCCTGAACAATAAACACTGAACTAGAAAGCATTTTTAGAGATCTTCACATCCAGTTGTCAAAAGAGGAAGGCATCAAAATCCTGAGGTCTACCAAGGGTTGTTTTCAAGTGACTCACAGAGCTGCAGAATAGGATGGACTCCAGGATAAGAGCCATGACAGAAAATTTACTGATCTTCCTTCTTCCTCCTACCCCACAGCTTTGCCTCTCCTTAGCACCTTCCACAGAGCCCCCTTCACATCCTTGTTTCTCAGAGTATAAATCAGAGGATTGAGCATGGGAGTAATTATAGTATAAAAAAGGGCAACAAACTTCCCCTCACTCTCAGAGTAACTCTCCTTGGGTTGTAAGTATATGTACATGGCTGAACCATAAAAAAGAGACACCACCACAAGATGGGACCCACAAGTCCCAAAAGCCTTTTTCCGTCCAGCTGTTGACTTGACCTTCACCATTGCCCGGGCAATGTGTGCATAGGAGCCTAGAATTAAGGCTGCAGGCATGGCAATCATTATGACTCGAGCCACAAACATCTTGGCCTCTATTCCTCCTGTGTCCTCACAAGCCAGCTTCAGGAGAACAGGCAGCTCGCAGATAAAGTGATTCAGGCGATGGCCACAGAGAGGCATGGCCATCATGAGGCTGGTCTGAATCAGAGAGTTCATGATGCCTCCCAGCCAGGAAACAGCAGCCAGTGTCTGGCAGAGGACAGGGTGCATGATGGTCGCGTAGTGGAGCGGACGGCACACAGCAGCATAGCGGTCAAAGGCCATCACCACCAGCAGCATGCACTCAGTTCCACCCAAAGAGAGAAATATGATAAGCTGGGCTATACACCTTCCATAGCTGATGGTCTTGTCAAGTCCAGAAAGATTCACCAGCAGCTGGGGCACGGTGCTGGTGGTGTAGCAGAGATCCAGAAAGGAGAGATGGGAGAGAAAGAAGTACATGGGCGTGCGCAGTCGAAGGTCTGCTCGAGAGAGAATGATGATGGTGGTGTTGCCAAAGAGAGTTAAGGAGTAAAAAATGGAAATGAAGACAAAAAAGAGAAATTCCAGTTGAGGCCAATCTGAGAAGGCCACCAAAATGAAGCCATTATCTAAACTGGTGTTGAGTCTTCCCATGACTTTTCACCTGCAGGAGTAATAAGACAATTCAGTACCTCCTATGGAGGATGAGATTTACAAATCTTACATTGTTTTATCTCCTAATCACCCCTTAGTGGTATGTTTTACTTCTCTGATGATGAGCTTACTAGATTGAGAGTAGTATAGCTTATGACTGAACCCTGCTTGAAGACCTTCTGTCTATTTGTTTCATGATATTATACAGGCCGCTCAGTTCTTTGGATGTATATGCTTCCTTGTTTGAAAGTAGAGATAATGTACTGCCCTCCTCACACTAATGAGACTAAAACAACAGCGTTATAATGTGGAAACTGATTTCCCAAAATACAGTTTTTGGGTAGGGAAGCAAAATATTGTAGTGGATCACCTTGGTTCTATACAAAGGAAGCTTTCACCCATCTGATTGCAGCCCCTAATTATCACAACCAAAATACATTATGTGATTTATGGTAGAAAACAATCCAATAGATTTTGCACTTGATGAACATTCTACAAAGACAGAGTCTTAAGACCTGGTAGCCTCTTGGTTGAAGTTTTTATTTTTTTCTAGCCCTGCAAGAAAAAGTGTCATTATGACACTATGCAGGAATTAAACATCTGTGTGACAAATGGTGAGTGCCTAGTGTTGCGAAGTGTCGGGCCTTCTAATGTCCCCAGGGTACAAGTGCTAATGGTTTGATCCACAGAACCACCCAGGCCCAGCTGAACATTGGCTTTAAACCTGACCTGGAAGGGATGTGAGCGACCACTTCACTACAGCTCAGTACAGCTGAGTTCAGTGTAGATACTACTGTACAGCTCCCTTGTGTACCTTGGTCTGCGCCCTTCGTCAGCAACACGCTGCTGTGCTTATGACACCTTTACAATACCTCACACAGCTTTTCTTCATTCTTCACAGCAAGGGTCTGAATCATAGCAAACCTCCAAGGGAAACACTTCCATTCTTAAGGAGCAATTATGGCCTACTGTCCGCAGGAAGCATGTATAGGTAAATCCTGTACATTCCTAGTTCTTATAACTCAGGTAGGCTTAGGCATTGGTCTAGTGCATGGTGGCAAGCAAGGAAAGCTGACTAAGGAGCACACACAATAAACAGCCGCCACCTTGTTGCTTGGTACAGACAGTATTTTGACATATACATACTTGGTTTATTTAATTTTCTACATTATAAAGATCATTGATTGTGTTTATAGTTTTTTTAACCATACTTATGTCTAGGTGTGGGTGCATCATCTTCATAAATATATACTTGTTGATCAGAAATCATGTTTTACTATTTTTCCAACAGCATGTAGTGCTATATCCTGTGCTAAATCCACTGATTTAATGGCACTGTCAGTCTACAATGTAGCCATATTCTAATAATAGAATTTAATAGTCTAGCTGGGCATAAGAAGAGGATACACAGCTTCCTTCCTTATACCATTGTTCCTCTGTATATTCTCAAGTTGAATCGAGTTTCATTTCCTCCAGTTATATATACAGGTATAGCTCCTTTATTACTGCTAAGGAGATTAATCTATCTGTTGAACTTAATTAGGTACCAAAGCATCCTTCCACCTGTCTCCATCACCACCTGCTCTTCTACAGACTCACTCAGACTCACCACCTTCACTTCTGTCAGATCCCACAAATATTTGGGGGTGATCTGCAAACCTCTTCTATTTAATGACTGAGCACATTCTCCAGTACAAGAGCAAATAATCAAAGACTGATTTTAGTCAGCTTGGCCGACATTCAAATTAACAGCTTGTTTTTTTTTTAGTTTTTTTTATCAGTAAATGAGTTTATGAATACAAATAGCTTGTTTTCACTAACTGGTCACACATAACATCTCCTTCTGGGTTCCCTTCTATTGCGTATTCCTCAAAAAAAACTTTATTGATATATTTCCACAGCTCTGGCCATGCCCCTCTTCTGTGTCTGGGTCTGATACCTACAGTTTACTTTGTTTATTGTGGTCTTGGCATCATAGGATTTGAGTTTGGAAGGAGCTTCAAAATGATTTTAAGTCAGCTTTCATGGTTTACATCCAAATGACTTGTTTTCCTACGTTTATGAACTTGGAGAGATGTTTTTTGAGGTGTGGTGTGTGGAGTAGAGAGCGGGTGGAGAAGTGATATAGAGTTGGAGTCTGTGATAAACGTGTTTTGTATGAACTCACCGTTACTCACTGGGGCCTCAATACAAGGGACCCCAATGGAAATTTCATGCCAGAATATTTCTTGTCTAGACCTTAACTGTGGAGCCAGAGTGACTCAGTCAATACTCACCTGGAATTCAAAGAAAAAAAAACTGCCTCTTTTAACTCTGTCAATTCTAGTTGCTTCAAAGGAAATAGGAGGCCAATAGGAGACCGGTGATATTTATCGATGTCTGCAGAAGACACATTTATATTCGATTGAGGTCTTGCTCTGTCCGTGAGAAGTTATGATAGCATGTGGCATTACCTGCAGAGATGTCTGAAGCCCATACTGCTGGAGGTGGGAACATCCTCCTCATGGATCTTCTTCTGTAGCTTGCCCTGATCAACTTATCATCAGCTAGTTTATTATCAGACCTCTCTCTACCTGTCCCTAAGTCTGAGCTGCTGCATCATTAAAACACCTCCTGACCCTAAGACTCAGCACACCAGTTTTGCATATGGGCATTGGTAATTCTTCCCTAAAGCAATGTAAGGATAGTTGTTTACCAAGTATGTCCTTAGAGACCCCAGAGAGCCATCATGTGGCAATTATAAGTTACTGATTGGCTCTCCAAAATCAGCTTTCCATTCCTCTATTTGCTATTCCCTTTAGGCTGTGTTAACCAGAGTGATGTACTTGGTATTCCATGAACATACCTTCTCACTTGCTCCAGCGAGTTTACTGTGTGTAATGCCTTACCTTTCCCTACGTTGATCCTCCTCCTGTCAGATATCCACACAGAACAAATTCTGTCTTTAGGAAGACTACCACACTAGCTTTCATGTCGGTTTTGATATCCCTTTAATTTACTGTCCTAGGCCATAGATCTATTTGCCCTACCATTTCCTTGCAAATGTATTGTTCTCTCCATAAAAAGTAGAAAAACACATTGCCATGCTATTTTCATATGGAATTCACTCTTTTGTAAAGATCTCAATGTATATTCAAATGTAATAAATCTTTGATTGTTTTTTTTCTGGTATTATTTGGTCTTTAGATTTATCAAAAAAAAAAGCACACCTAAGAATTCACAGAACCTCACTCTCCTTTACAATAAATACAATTATATGTGTTCACTACAAATTACAAAATATGAGATACTATCTCAAAGGAAAAGCCAAAATTTCGACTTGCTTTTCTTAACGTTTTGCAATCTTCTCTTTTCATCATTATACTTAATCAGTTTACAGAATCCTATTTTTCTTTCAGAGATGTTCTCATATTTCAGCACCTAACTCAACTTTCTTCCTAATACCATCCACAGAGCCCCTTTCACATCCTTGTTCCTCAGAGTATAAATCAAAGGGTTGAGCATGGGGGTGATTATGGTATAAAAAAGAGCCACAAACTTCCCCTCGCTCTCGGAATAACTGCCCTTGGGTTGGAGGTATGTGTAGATGGCTGAGCCATAAAACAGACAAACCACTAGGAGGTGAGACCCACAAGTACCAAAAGCCTTTCTGCCTCCAGCCATTGACTTGACCTTCAGCACAGCCCTGGCAATGTGTGCATAGGAACCTAGAATCAGTGATACAGGAAAGACCAAGATTACAGCTCCAGCAACAAACATATATGACTCTGTTCCTCTTGTATCCTCACAAGCCAACTTCATGAGAACAGGCATCTCACAGAAGAAGTGATTTGGACAATGGCCACAGAGAGGCATGGCCATCAGAAGACCTGTCTGAACCAGAGAGTTCACCAGGCCTCCCACCCAGGAAACAGCAGCCAAAGCCTGGCAGAGTCGGGGGTGCATAATGGTCATGTAGTGGAGTGGATGGCACACAGCCGCATAGCGGTCGAAGGCCATCACCACCAGGAGCACACACTCAGTTCCACCCAGCGTGAGGACAATGGAGAGATGGGCCACACACCGTCCGTAGCTGATGGTCCGGTCGAGTCCAGAAAGATTCACCAGAAGCTGGGGCACGGTGCTGGTGGTGAAGCAGAGGTCCAGGAAGGCAAGTTGGGAGAGGAAGAAGTACATGGGTGTGCGCAGTCGAGGGTCTAGTCGGGAAAGAACGATGATGGTGGTGTTGCCAAAGACGGTCAGGGAGTAGAAAATCAAAACGAAGATAAAAAAGAGAAGTTCCAATTGAGGCCAGTCTGAGAAGCCCACCAAAATTAAGCTCTGTCCCAAAGTGATGTTGCACCTTCCCATCGTCTTTCACCTGTACGAAAAGCAGAGGACAATTCAATTACCCCCTAGAAAGAACACGAATTAATTTCTAGTTTTACAACATCCCCTAAACAGTCCAGAATGCAAGTTTTACTTTCCATTTTTTTATTCATTTCAGTTTTGTAGAGCCTTTTGTTTATTTTGCTCATTGGATTAGCAGTGATGGAACCTTTCCTTAACACCTAGACCTGCTGCCTTTTTCTTTATTTTAGCTAGATGACTCACTCATGTGGTTCTGATGTTCTCTTCACTGAAAGTAGAGCCAAAGTGATGCCTTCCTTCCAGATGTGGAAACTTAAAAAAAAAAATAAGCTGGGTGCCGGTGGCTCACGCCTGTAATCCTAGCTCCTCAGGAGGCTGAGATCTGAGGATCGCAGTTCAAAGCCAGCCTGGGCAGGAAAGGCCGTGAAACTCTTATCTCCAGTAAACCACCAGAAAACTGGAAGTAGCACTGTGGCTCAAGTGGTAGAGCTCTCTCCTTGAGCTGAAGAGCTGAAAGACAGCACCCAGTCCCAGAGTTCAAGCCCCACAACCACCACCATCAACAACAAAAATTAAAGTATAAAGTACAGCATTTGGTATTCTGTATTGCTTTCTTTTGTTCTTTTTGATGGTCCAATTAGTAAATTAGGACCCAGAACTAAATGAAATGTGATCTCAACTTTGACCTCTGGATACTCATTTACTTCCTTCAATGCATATAGATAGTGCCCCAGTCCTGAAAGTCTTGCTCATGATCAGCTGTCAGATGTCACCAAACTCATAGTAGTGAAGATCCATCTTCAGAAAAAAATGTGATAAATATATTTATTTTAATAAATTATAATGCTCTATATTTTCTTCTAGTTCTCCAATTGGTAAATCCATCCCTTATTTTCCCTCCCAGGAAGAGTTGTTTCTTTTTCTACTTTGGACATTCTTTTCCTAAGCTCTTTTTAAAAAATCTTTTAAGTAGTTGTACAGGGGAGGTGTCATTTAACAAAATAGTATATGAATACTGTATATCTTGATTTCTGTCACCCCTTCAGTGATCTCATTCCCCTTCCACCCACCATTTCCTTTACATTTCTCATTTTGTGAAATAAACAATGAATTCTTGACTGTATTCTCCTCCCCCACCACCTTCATTGTCTACTGCTCTCCCTTTGTCCTTCCCTCCCTGCAAGTTCCTGGTGCTCATTTTGTTGGGCTTTGACTTAATCTGCCCAAATAAATGTACTATTTGAGCTCTCCATAGCACCAATTATAATTCAATTAGGACTGCTTACATGCCACCCAGCATGTTTACTTATTGACTTAGAGGCATATTCTGGCTATCACTAATGAAAGAAACCATGCAACCTTTGTTTCTCTGGGACTGGCTTGCTTCACTTAATATAATTCTTTCCAGCTCTTTCCATTTCCTTACAAATGGTACACTATCATTCTTTCTAATCAGCGAGTAATATTCCATTGTGAGTATATACAACATTTGTTGTATATGCTCCCCCACATTGGTGCCATTCCTGGTGTGCATAAATATCCCAGAGATACATGTTTCCTGAGCAAGAGGAGAGAACAGACAAGTCCATGGTGTTTCTCAGTTGGTGGCACAATGTCTATTTAGTGTTCCTGCTCTGTATCTCATCACTAACTTGTATAATAGCACCAGAAGAAGCACTATCATGTAATTGAGCAAAAACTTCAAATCATGATTGGGTGATATATGTTAAAACAATCCATAAGAATTTGAATTTGATAGCCAGGCACCGGTGGCTCACACCTGTAATCCTAGCTACTCTGAGAATCACAGTGCAAAGCCAACCTGGGCAGGAAAAGTCTGTGAGACTTTTATCTCCACTAAACCACTCAGAAAACCAGTGCTGTGGCTCAAGTGGTAGAGCACCAGCCTTGAGCTGAAGAACTGAGGGACAGCACTCAGGCCCAGAGTTCAAGGCCCATGACTGACAAAAAAAAAAAAGAATTTGAATTTAATGAAACAAGAAGCAACCATGACCAAAGTGCCTAAGAAAAGATGACTCTGAGTGGGGAAAATGGGACGCGGTTTCCAAACCTCATTCGAAATCATATAGAAGGGAATAGACCAAACTTGTAGACTTCAGAGCCAGTTACCAAGAAACTAGAAGGCATAGATGTCCTAAAGGCATACTGAATAAAATCTAAACACAAGTCAACCGTGTCTAGTTGAGCACTGAATTTAACAAAATACACCAGGTTAGGCAAAAATGATAAAAGAACCTTGACCTTTGGAATCTATTAATGGAACCTAAAAATCATTTTCTCCAAGTGTCTCCCTGATACAGCCATTCCTCATATAGGATGCCAAAATGCAAACTTGGTTTATGAATCCCCTGCTTCATTTCTTTTCCATCTAGTCTTTTCCCACTCCAGCCCTCAGCTCCATATTTTCACTATATGTAAGATAACTATGTTGAAGTCTTTGATCCAGCCTTTATATAGTTCAGAGAAGTGTAATGTCTCATGGCTAAAATCTGATCAGTAAACTGACCTGCTTGCACAGGATTATACTTTTAGTATTCTATACAAGTTCCTGGCTGTAGCTTCTGGTTAGAAAATTGACTAAATATATAGAACCAAATGACTATAAAACCAATGCAGCATCTATAAGCATCCTGAGTGAGAAACCAGTGTTTCTAATTCAGCTAGAACATAATTAAAGACAGCTGTGATAGTTTATGTCCATGTTTAAAAATATCTCCTATGGAAGCAGGGATGAATTGTCTTTGTTGGTCTCTGAAAGCCATACATACACAGACCAACTAGTGACATTTACAAGGGGGAGAATTGTAGCTCCATAAGAAGAAAGCTTGAAAATAAGAATAGGAGGATCTAAAAATAGACAGTCTGAAATAGAAGACACTTTTTGCATAACACCAATGATTCCTATTAATTCACACACTGACCTTTCAGGTTCCTGTAGTAGGTGAAAGATTGTGTTAAACGTTTCTATTCATGCCACCCTGCCCTGATCCTCCTTACTTTTCTAAGATGATGTTTTAGACACTTAATGATTACTCCTTTATGCCCCTGGTATCTCCTAAGGCTGTAATAATTGTGCATTGGTTTCTTCAATGCAAAGATTAGTGATTCTCTATGTTCAACTCTGTGTTTGTGTCTATAAATAATCTTTATAAATAATACATTTCTTGATTAGAAGTCTCTTAAATGACCTATAACACTAACATCCTTCATTCTAATTTAATGATATTATCAGATTGCAGTAGAACCATATTTAATCCAGACAACCTTATCTTCTGTTTGGCAAAGGAAGAGATATCACAAAGTCTCTTCTAATTGTGCTTATTGTTCAAACATGAATTCTCAAGTTGAATCTAGCTTCACGTCTTCCCATTATGCCTGCAGGTATAGCACTCTGGCATTATGGGAGATTAATCTCATTAATGACCTAACTAGATAGCAAAGTATTCTTCTATTCACGCTATCAATACCTACTCTTTTACCACTCTGTGATTTAGACCCCATTCATTCCACAATATCAGCTAGATTGTAAAGTCTTTATGATTTACAAGCCTCTTCTTTCAAACACCCAACATAAACCCACCCCAGTTTTCTAGCAGAAGACAAAAGAAAATCCATATTAGTAGTCGGCTTCATTTACAGTTTATTGAATTAAATTGCTTGCTTTGTCTGTGACCCTACTATTTGTGACTCTTCTAAGAAAATTTTCTTGATTCATCTCAATAACCTTGAGCATGCGTGTATTCTGTTTTCTGCCTCTGTTGTCTGCAATTAACTTTTGCATTTCACAGCCTTGGCATCATAGGATTTGAGTTTTGGAATGATTTTGAAAATCATCAACATGGTTTAAGTCAACGCTTATGGGGGTTTACATGTCTTAAAGAGAGTAATTTTTGATCTGCTGTGTGTAGAGTAGGCAGAGGGTGGATGGATAGTTGATAGAGAACAAAATCATTATCAGTACCAAAGTATGTTTGCTCTGCCCTCAAACTAGACCCCCACACACAGCGGAACGCAGTACTAATTCCACAGGGGTCTGCTTCTTGTTCTCTTGATTGCAACCGTCAAGTCAGAGTGTCCCACCTAGTCACCACTTACCTGGAATTCAAGGACAGAAAATTGCCACTCTCACCTCCCTCAAACCTATTGGCTTTGAGGGAAATGAGGCCCCCTGGAGACCAGTGCCATTAGTGAGGTCTAGATGAAAGACTTCTTAGTTGTGATTTCCCCTGCAGTGGGAAGAGCTCACAAGATGCTCGAGACGCCATCACAGTGCACTGTCCCCCTCAGCACCAGAGATGGCCGAGCCACCAAACCTCCATGAGAGGAACATCCTCCTCACAGAACCTCTCTGTCCCTAACCACCTGAGATGAGGAAGAAGCTAGGAGATCATCAGGCCACCTCCTGACCCTAAGGCTGAGCTACTGCATCAGCTAAACATGTCCTAACACTGTGGCTAAATACCCCAGCTCTGCCCAGTGGGCATCGATAAGGCCTCCCTAAAGCCATGGAAAGAGAGTTATTTACCAAGGGTGGCCTTGGAGACCTCTGGGCCCAGTGTGGAAATTTTAATCACCTGACATGCCCTGCAAGATCTGCCTGGCAGTCCTCACGTCTCACTACTCTCCATTCTCTTCCCAACCAAAGATCTTTTCAGTGTCCTCAGAACACTCCTTCTCTGTCTGTAGCTGGCCTTAGCCTATGATCCTCCTACCTGTACCTCTGCTGTGGCTTGAATTACAGGCATGCGCCAGCATGCTTAGCCTTTTCTGTTGAAGTAGAGTCTTGTAGACTTTTATGTTCCCCCAGGCTGGCCTAAAATAGTAATCTCCCCCCAATCTCAGCCTCTGAGTAATTAGAATTACAGGTATAAACCAACACATCAGACTTCTTTTTGAAGTCTTTGTGTATTTTTAGAGATTAGTCACAGGAATAGCTTGCAAAGACTTTTTTAAAATCATTCTGTAGGCTGTCTCCTCAT